CATCCGATGGAAGACCGATCGGGAACGATGCTTTTGCGGGTGCATCGTTACAAACTAATACATGTCCAATTCCTTTTTCGAAGGCATATACTCCTACCATCCAGACTTCGGCGTTGCATTCGTCGGAACAAGTTCAAAAGAACAAACAGTCGACTCCAAGGAATATTAGACTTAGCAAGGCTGACAACACTTTTAAAATATTTCAATGGAATGCTTTAGGAATTCGACACAATCTCTCCTCGCTACTAGAGGTAGCAAAGAATTTTGATATCCTTTGCGTGCAAGAATCTCTTCTCAATCAACACAATACCTTTCACGTCAAAGGTTATAAGGTTATTAGAAAGGACATCATCCAGACGGGAGATAGAGACGTATGTATCATTATACATGTTTGTATCATTATTCGTGAAAATATTAAGTACGAAATTCTCGACCTCATATCTACTGAGCATTCTTCAGTAGAATTCTTAGCAATCAAAATTCCTTACTCTAAATCGGATTCGTTAGTAATTATTAATTTGTATAGACATCCCGGTCAAAAAATTTCTCACGCTTTTTTCGATTCCTTAATCAAGGAAATACAAGAATATAAAAATTATATTCTTTTAGGTGATTTCAACGCTCATCACACAACTTGGGGTTGCGGACGTCAATCGACTGCGGGAAGGATGCTTATGCGGATTATTGAAGAACACGATCTTCTTCATGATACTACCCCTACGCTTTTACGTCCTTCTTCTAATCGGGCTTCAGTCATTGATCTGGCCTTAGCGTCCCCACAGCTTGCACCAATGTGCAACACCTTCGTAGAATCTGACACATTTGGGAGTGATCATTATTCTGTCATTACAACCATAGGCATCCAGGTTTCGTTGAAATCTAAATTCTCATATAGGATTTCTCTTACTAAAGAACAATTCACCTTCTTTTATCGAGAATTAGCCACTCATGTTAATAATTTACTCCCATTAGATAAAGATAACGGGATGCAATGTTACGATGTGCTGATGCGAATGATCATGGACATTGCCAAAAGTTTCCTTCCGGAGGACAAGCATCTTCCACGCACTTTTACCTTTCCTTCAAAGCTAGTCCCCCCTCCTTGGTGGAATGAATTGTGTTCTAGTGCTGTTGAGACTAGAAGGAAAGCTCTCAAAAATCTCGTCTCTAACCCTACTAAAGAAAAACTCGAAGAATTTCAGAGGACACGTGATGATTGCTCCAGGAAGCTTTCTGAACAAAAAAGAGAAAGTTGGCGTAGGCTAGTCAACGGCTTTAATGTAAAAACTCCCTCTAAGCAAATTTGGTCTTTAATTAAATGTTTTAAAAGGAACGCAAATAGCAACTCGATGACAGCAGAAGATCTTCGAGAGGCTTCATTTGATGTCATCTCAAAGCTATGCCCACCATCTTATTGCGATCGTTCAAAACCCTAGAAATAATGAAACTAGACGACCGTCATAATCCACATAACTGCGCCTGGCTTGATGAACCCCTTACCGCTGACGAGCTTAAATGTGCTTTGAATTCGGTTCGCAAAGACTCTGCTCCCGGCTTGGATCAAGTTAGCTATGACATTATAAGCCAAACTCCCAGTGAAATTAAATTATATCTATTAGACATATTTAACCAAATTTTTTCAGAGGGTTTTTTCCCGAACACCTGGAAAGATTCTCTAGTTGTACTTATTCCTAAGCCCGGCTCCAAGGGGGTCAGACCCATATCGCTCATGTCATGCGTTTGTAAACTCATGGAGTGCATTCTATACCGCAGATTGAGTTGGTTTATCGAGTCCAGACCTATACTTCCGCAGTCTCAATCAGGATTTGGACCTTTTAGGGCCTGCAATGATAATCTGGCTACTCTGGTTACCTCAGTGAAAACAGGCTTTCTGAAGCATTCAGTCACGGTTGCGGTTTTCTTGGATATTGCGGGTGCATTCGACAATGTGGATCCGTGCATCCTGCTGGAGGACTTGAGTGTCATTGGGGTTCCTGCCCACTTTAGAAAATTTATAGAGAACCTTTCTCATTTCTGTAAGACATCTTACTTTCATAATAGAAGGCGAGCTTCATGGCCCGTACACCACTCTCAAGGGCACGCCTCAGAGATCCACGTTAAGCCCCTTATTATTTGACATCTACCTCAGGGAAATCGGACATCTACACCGGGATACTCATCTTTTCCAATACGCAGATGACGTTGTCTTATTCTCTACGCATCCGGTCTTAAACACGGCCATTGACTCTGTTCAGAAATCCTTGGATCAAATATATAACTATCTCAGATTCAGAAACTTGGAAGTATCACCCTCGAAATCCAAGTGGATTATTTTTGAACCAGGTAAAGCTACTAAATCACCAAAGATCATTAACATCAATGAAAACTCAATTCCCAGAGTATATTCACATCGTTTCCTGGGCGTCATCTTGGACTACAATTTGAACGGCAAACAACGTCTGAAGTATCTCATAGATAAAGGCAGAAAAATTTCAGCTATTGTGTCTGCTCTGTCGAGCGTTACATGGGGCTCACACCCTGGGCTTTTGCTTACGATATACAGAGCTATTTTTAGGAGCGCAGTGGAATATGAATCTCATTTCTTTACTTGGGGCCACGGTGTAAGAATAATAGGTGGTTCCACTCATGCAACTGTGATTTTCCTGAGGAAACTCCGCAGTTGAACAGCAGGTGGCGTGTGTGTATAACACCTAGCCTCATAAGCGTTTCAAGTAGTTTCAAGAGACATGAGTAGGATAGGAGAAGGTAAATGATGGTAATGAAGGTAAAAGTATAATAAATAATTTAAAAAATAGATAAATAAATATATAATATTGTGTATATATATAATATATAAATAATACATAATATATAAACTTGTTCTTTATTGATAATTATTATTGAACTTCAAGTTCAATAATAATTATCAATTGTTATATAAACGAGCTTGTTTCTTTTTCTCACGACTCGTTTTCGTTAAATCATTATTTATTTGCTTGGCATACTGGCGCATTCGCATTGTGATATAATAATAAATACAATGACTCAGTATATCTAATTTATGATCTTCACAAGGAAATGTAAAATCGTAGTTTAATATTATATCATTAACAGTTCGTTCGTATACATCAATGTAATTTAGATTTTTTCTGAAGAAAATTTCAGCATTATAAAATAACATATATAACATTATATTAGGATGTTTTAATTTTCCAAGAGATTTTAGATTGATTAATTCTGCGTCTGGTATTGAACTTGTATGTTGTGTAAGTGAAGCTCGACATGTATCACAACTGATATGTTTTAACATTTTCTTTGTTATAAAACCTGATACATAATAAATAATACAATCCATAACTGCTGGCATTTCATAATCTTCTTCTATGATATCATTCCCATTCAGATGTTTCAATGAGTCCATCCAATTTATTTTTTAACAAATGTAAATGTTCCTTTTTGTAAGATTCATTTTTGGAATTAAAAATTGTGTGGAATTCTTCCTGTGTAATAAACAGTCTCGTAGTATCAATTTCATTATCAATACTACAACTGCCAAATTTTGGAGGTTTCACAATTTTATATACTGATAGCAATCGATATAACTGTAACAATGTTGAGAATATGGGATGATCATTTTGACAACCAGCTTGTCGTAAAGTTCCAAAAAATTGCTACAAAATGAAAATAATATAACTAAAATTGTGAATTTACAAAAAGTATTTTATTCTATTATACATGTTTCAATAAATTTTTCAATACCTCTAAACAATCTTGTGTAATTTTTCCTGTCAGAATATATTTAAAACCAAACTTTTCAATTAACTCTGTTATTAATGATATGGTAGACATCAATGTAACTCGCAAGCCCTCTGCTGTACTTTCTGTTAAAAATTGTTGCCTTGTTATTGTTCCATTAAGTAATTCATTTTCCCACTCGTTTAACCATGTAAGAGATTGGTGAAGAACCTATAATGTAATAGCGTAAACGCTTTGTACTGATTTATATTAGCCATTTAAAATTAATTTAATTAATAGATTTAAATAACTAATGTACTTTAAAATCGTTACTAATTAATAGTAACTCCTTCCTTTGGAAACCGTCGATTTAAAGCATCGAACATATTATTTATTTGCAAGGTAAATTCGATTGTTCCTTCACATTGCTCAAAGCGTTTATTTCTCATTTGGTAAAATTTCAAGCCATCCGCAACACTTTTACTAAATACCTATTTCTCCATGCAAGCAAAATTCATACAGTCGTGAAATAATTTTAAATAAAGCTTTAAAAATAATATACCTGAGTTGCCAAAGACACTCTCATTTTCATAGTTACTTGGTTGAATATGATTAATAGTCAGTTTGGGAACAATACGAAATTTTCCTTGGTCTTTAGAATCTTCTTCGTATAATAATTTGTAATAAGTCCAGTTTATAAACTTGCCCTTGAGCTAAAACGATTATGTAGGAATTATTACTGACCATAATATGACATAGAAAGTCTACGATAATGTTGACATACCCGTCCAATGAATTCAGAACAGAGACGATCTTAAATACTTTCCAATTAAACAATTAAGCTCTTCAAGGAGAAAGTTTAATCTTCAAGGAGGACTTGGTATTATACATAAATGTGTTAATATATTTAAGTTAAAATGCAAGTAAAACAATACAATTTACGATTTATTATAATTAAGAAATTAACCAAAAAATACGATTTTCTCTCATACTTCTATTTTATTTTTTTCTATTTAAAAATTGATATTATTTTCTGTTTATCTTCTTCTTATAATTGCTGACAATTACAAAAGAATCATCTGAATACAATATATTCGTAATTTACAATTATTAAAGCCGTCTTTGCTCAAAAGTTATCTAATTTAAAAAAAGGAATAAAAAACCAAAATTAATGTATATTTCTTCAATGAGATTAAAATATCAATCTGCAAACATACATATTATTATATTATACCTTACACGTAACCTTCAATAATCTATTTCTTATACATTTAATTAAATGAGGTGTATCTAAAATGATATATATATTTCTATTTGAATCAACAGGGTTCTCAAAAAAACAGCTAGTATTTTGAATTTTTCCAGAAATGCCAAATTCGTCCCACATCTTTCTGTTAGTAGTAGCACCATCGCAAATAATGCCATGAACACGAGCACCTACTTCTTCTAGGAATATTATCGCTTGTAATGTTAACTGAGCTAACACTCGTCCCTTAGTAGCTCCAACACAACCAAAAATAGCCATTGGCTGTTGAAAATTATCAGCAAGAGAAGTAAACATAAAGACAAGAGCGTGATCAGCCATATTCTTTACATCCGTGGGATGGTTTTCGCTGATCAATCCATCAAATATTAAAGTTTTCGCATTAACAGCAATACTTTTCCGTACCTGTATTTCAAGTACAAGAAGGCCATTCTTTGCAAGATTACTAAGTGAATGCAATTTATTTCGAAATAATTCAAAAAATTGTGTATCAAATCCAGTTTTCGTATTAATATTACGAATATAATGATAAATTGTTGTAGGTGATGGAAACGGCAATATATTATTATGACGCAAAAAATTATAACCAGAAGAATTTCTGATTTTATACAATAAACATAATAATAACCATCCTTCAGAATATCTTCGGCCATGAGTATTTGACCGTTTTGCAACAGAAATACATTCATTTATGAGCATAATCTAAAAAGCATTAAAATGCATAACTACTACAAAATATTTTTCATCAAAATTATTTTTAATTACATATTTAATACTTTACTTGAAACGTAATGACTATTTTTTAATTTTTAGTTGTAATTTAGAAAAATAATATTACAAATTAAAAACTAACTTGTGATTCTGGAAAATTCAAGCTTTGAAGATGCTCTTGAAGTGTTTGCTTTTCCACTTTTTTTATTTTTGATTGATATTGTTCTATAATATTTCTAATAATTTTCTGCTTTAACTTCAGTCTTTGTACTGCTTGAACTTTAACTCGTTTGGCAGCCCTTAAAGCTATTACTTTTTTACGACTGGAAGGTGTAAGCACTATCTTTTTGGACGTACGGTGCTTATTACGATCTTTTTGTTGTAAAGATTTATATAAAGATACACAAAACTTGCATATTTTTTTTCCAGAAGTCTGTACGAGACATTTCTTATGTCGCCACGTATTGGTAATATTATCTTGTATGGTACATAGTGGATAAGTATCTTTAAAATGATTAATCACCGGACCTCCTTGGCACAAAGTAAAATTGTGTACGTGTTCTAATAATAAATTGACATCATCTAAATTTTCTAATATATATTGGCCCGATAGCGCTTCCTTATTTAAAAATAATACGTCATACTGTAAGTCTTCGTAAATTGTAACCTAGTAAAGAAAAACCTAGTTTTTAAACACAGAAGCATTTTGTTACTAATAATTATTCTTCATTAACTTACTTGTTTTATAATAATCATTTTTTTTTCCTTGGACATACTTGCTTGAGTGAATAATATTTGTGGACGTAATTCAAAATTGCGATGACATCCCCATGTTATATCTGGCAAGTTAAATTGAATTTTATTGTATAATACACACATCTTGAAAAATCTTTTGTTTCTCAATTAAAAGTCCTAAAACATAACTTACAATAATAAACTGTCTTAATATAATTATTGTATAGTAAAATAATAAATTTTAACCTTGCTCTTCACAATACATAGATGAAGTTGATTGTAACTCAAATAACGAAGATACAGGAGATGAAATAGATGTGTTAATTAATACAGTTACATTTTCTTCTACCAAATTTTTTTCATCATCTCGATCCATTATTAAAGTTATATCACTACTATCGTGATTTGATCTGCTACTTTCTATCAAGTTTTCTTCATTGTCTTGATTCATTGGTAAAGTTACATTACTACTATCCTCATTTGATCTAATATCTTCTACCAATTCTTGTGAACATGTAAAGCAAGGATTAGCCCCATCTTTTAATTTTGTTTTTAATAATTCTCGCTGAAGAATGATGAAAAATCATAATAAATATACATATGTAGAAGACAACTTGATTTATATGACAATAAAAACGTATTTATTACCTCAAATATTATGTTTCCATCTGAATCCTTGATTACATTTTTTCTTAAAATGTAATCCTTGTTAAAATGATCTTCACAAACGAGGAAAATTTTAGGTATTTTTATATTCGGATATGCACTTTGGATTAATGCAATCCATTTTTCACATTGTTTCATGTTACTACAGGGAACGCGAAAAAGTGATTTCTTACATGTTCGAACGCAATTAGGAATTAGACAATTAAACGGCATGATGCTATCTAAAAATAAAAATGCTTAAAATTTCAAAACTTTTATCGCATGTATTTTAGAATTACCGTCCACGTGTTATAAATTCTTCTTATTCTTCGTCTTATTCATACTCCTCGTAACAAATCTTTAGAGGTCAATACGGATTACGTCAACAACAGAATATACAAAAGTAAGTTTGAATATTAATGCTCGTTTAAAGCCAGCCAAACTTTCCAAAAATGTCACGGTGTAAGAATAATTATTCATGGAATGGATAATTAGTGACCGTAACTGGAAATCAATACAGTAGAGTATGAGGTTAGGTGTCAGACCATTATGCCCTCTAGCGTTACGTGTTTGAGCTGCCTCAATTTCGTCACAGCTTCTCTAGGCAAAATGGGCGAGTGGAACCACCTATTATTCTTACACCGTGCTTGGGGCTCATCGACCCCCGACTTTATTAAACTCCGACGACTGCAGTATAAGGTGATCAAGAAAGCGATGGGGTACCGAATTTCAACACCAATAGACACCATGCTCGCAGAAGCCAAGGAATTTGAGCTAAATATCAGATTTAATCTCACCGCTTCAAAATTCATCTACAAGTGTATGGCAAATAAATTTAACATCGTTTACAATTCTCTAGAGGAAATGGAAATTACAGCGGTCAGAAGGAACTGCAAGGTCAAAGCCATTAAGGAATCCAGACTCTTTAAATTCTACGTTATCAGTCGCCATGAAAAGTCCATCACTTTCAGATCTACATATTCGCCGGCATATTGGTACTCCTATGAGGTTTTCTCTACGACAATTAAGTATGTCAATACTATGCAGAGCTATAACAAAAGTGAAAATACTAATTTGACAATTGCAGATTTCTATCATAAATCCTTTGAGCTTAGACAGAATGCTACGACTTTTTACACCGATGGGTCTAAGAGCCCGGAGGGCGCTGTTGGAGCTGCGGTTTATTCGCCAGAAATGGAAGGTAGTATTAAACATAAGCTTCCTCCTGAAATCTCCATTTTCTCGGCCGAACTTTGGGCCATTACCAGGCCATCCTTGCTATTTACGATCTTAACCTCCCCAAAAGTGTAATTTTTTCTGATTCAAGGAGCGCTCTAGAAGCACTCCAAAATTCTTCCAAGGTGCAGCGCAATTACATAGTGTACCATATCAGAAAAGTCTATTTTGATATATTAAATAGGGGCAGTACGGTCACTCTTTTTTGGATCCCTGCACATTCAGGCATCCCAGGCAATGAATCAGCAGATCACGAAGCTAAACTGGCCGCGCTTGAGGGCTACAAACCTGGTTTTTGTGTCCCATATGAGGATCTTCTGGTGGAATCGCTCGAGCAGACAAACAGTTTCAGGATTATATAAAGGAAGTTTCTGCCACTAAAGGCACTCAATACTTTGAACAATTCTACACTAAGTCCAAAAAGACATGGTTCTATGAAGCGCCGCTTACAAAGGAAGAAATCGTTCTCGTCAACCGTCTAAGATCCAATCACGTCAACGTCAACGAAAGCCTATACAGGGTCAACATGATATCTTCGCCGAGCTGTCCCTGCGGCGATTCTCGTCAAACAATAAACCACTTAATTTTTCATTGTAATGTATTTGCCAATAACTCTTCTCCCATACGAGCGCATATCGCAAAAGAATTTCCAAACTCTCCGCAAGACCTTATCCCTGCCCTGCGTTCCCCTACTCCCAAACTCTGCCGCCTGCTCTTGGCCTTCATTAAGGCCAACGAGCAACCTTTTCTTCTAAGGGTGGAGTCCCATGAGGTGTATTTATCGCGTATCGCGTAAGCGCGTAACCAATCAATAATCAGTAAAACGCGAAACTATAACAGCAGATCGCTTCTGATTGGTTACGCGGTTACGCGATACGCGATAAATACACCTCATGGGACTCCACCCTGACTCTTTCTTTGCTCCTCTCTCCTTCCTCCCATGGCGCGCGGTTCACCGCTGGGTGGCAGCAGGCGTCTGGATTAAGGGGGGAGGCAGTCATATTTTCTGCGATCAACACAGTTTACAAACCTACTCGCAATAAATTACCAACATCGTGGATCTCAATGGCCTAGTTTCAACCCTTGAGTTGCCTGGCCAATAACCTAAGAAGAAGAATCTTTCAGGCGTGTTTTATAACCTATTATACGATTATTCATTCGGTTTCTTTCTTTTGCTAGTAATACAGTTTTCTTATATATCTTCTGTGCCTGTGATGTTAAATGGCATTGTCTTGTAACAGACCCAAGTATTTTTCTTGGTGTGCCTGTCTCATTATTTGCAAGATCGTTTACTAACATACTTGTTTCTGCACATATAAAATTACTTGTAGAAGTTTCATTACTGGCCTGAGATTGTAAATGTAACTCTGTGGTATATGATTGAGATTATAAATATGGCTCAATTGTATTTATGTCACATTGTGAATCTTGCTGAGATGTATTTGTTTCACATTGTGAATGTTGCTCAGTAGTATTTACATCATCCACCTGTGTATTAACTGTATGCATAATACCTATATTTACGCTGGGTACTGCATTATGTTTCAATCTTCACCGATTTTGAGAGTAAATATAATCTTCTGGCAAAAAATGCAAATGACATACTCTATATTTTCTCAATTCCTCTGATGAAGCATTAGAAATAATACTATTATTTACAGTTGCTTTCCATTTTTGTGATAATATAGGAATCTTTGGAAAAAAAATGCAGGAGCCCTTGAATTAGATTTACAACCAGGTACAATGCATATCCATTCAACTTTTACCATTTTTATTTAAGTTTCCAGTTTAAAATTGAAAACTGCAAATAATTTAAGGATAAACAATAATTTTTATTTATAATTTAAGGAAAAAAATTGATTTACAACATATCTTTAATGTGGCATACTTTAATATGAAAACAATATGACTATTAATAATTATCTGGCACACACAATGTGTTAAACAATTCGGGATTTGCTCATCAACCGATCACTGCCGTCTCGATAAACGGACATTTGCGAATGTACATACAATATTTCTCGTGCATAAATGGCTACGTTTACACCGTGCGCTTAGTCCGCGACCTATACGATAAATGTCTTTGTTTAACCTACAAGATAAATAAGGACATCTATTGTATAGGCCGCGGCCTAAATGTACGGTGTAAACGTAGCCATTAACGACGGATATCAAGAACATCAAGAATACGGGCAATGGCCACCGTTATATCACAGTATAAGAATCATACAGTAGGATCAATACCCCGTTTTCTTCTTCTTCTTCTTCTTAATTAATGGCTCCTGCCTCCCTCGCTTAGGAGTATACGGAGGCAATACGGCCAGATCTCGTCTTAATGGATTACAATATCAAAAAGTGACGCAATGCCCGCGAAAATGGCGTTGCCCGAACGGACACCGGGCGCCTGCGTCTACAACGTCGTCACGTCGAAATAACGCGCGTCCGGACGAACGCACGAGACGAGCCAACTCGCGGACACGCGTCGGGAGGAAGCGATAGCACAATCAAAGTCGGCAACAATATATTTCAAAAATATACGATTGTCAGCACCCGATCCGAAACGCGTCCGCCGCGGTCAAGTGGTTCTTCAGAACTCAATACCCCGTTTTCGAGTCAGACGTGCAGATTTGCTTGCGCATCCTAAGATAACTTTGGGTACCCAATTCCGTTCTTAGTAAAGTGGCTATTGCATCTCCGTTACTGTGTCACAGCTGGCAGTGGTACAGAATCAAAAGTTCGGATTACATTTGTGACTACCAAGGGAAATGTATCAGTGTTTCCAATGAATCTAATGAAAGTGAGTTACAACTTATCATCGACATATTTGAAAGATCGTGATTTCCTTGAATCTGAATATCCGGGAACCTCTCGGCTTTTTTTTTTTACAATATTGAAGAGTGCCTGAAAACCGATTTTTTATGTTGCTCGTTAATTCAACTTAGTTATTACTTTGTATAGCATTTCTTTGCTTTATATATTATATTTATTGAAATCTTATTACAGTTGGTTTCTTGTCTTTGTGTATAAGTGTTTTATAGTTTGATAAATGTTTTTGTTTAATTTTTTTATTGCATGTGGCAATTGTGCATGATTATTAACTTATGACTCAAGTTGTACTTTGACATAACTTGTTATATTGTTATTTGTGATTATGTACAGTAATGTTTACTTGCTATTGGTGCTCTTATGTCATTGAATTACTTGTCTGTTTTATATTAGTATAATTAAAGTATTTTTAATATTATATACAGTCATTTCACCAATTCAATATATTCCTTTGATTTATTATTCGGAAACTTGTAATTATTTTCGTAATATAAGCAAAAAAATTTATTAATGGCGATGGTCCATACCGTACTATGCGCCAACTAGACGAATATACGAGAATGAATTAACACGGCCTGGGTATCGATCATGTAACTTTTTCTCTAGAGTGGCCTGGTTTACACCGTACGTTTTTTCCGCGACCTATACCCTAAATTCGACCTAATTCAGGTCACATTATTTAGGCCGCTCGCTGTAAATACTACTATACCTGACCCGACCTGTTGTAGGTCAGGCCGTATTTTTTGGCGCCCTCACCTAAAATAGGTCGTCTGCTTTCTCGGTGTAAATTCGCGACTGACCCGACCTGAAACTTCGTAGCCATTTTGCTCGAACAGCTGTTTTGTTGAATTTGAGAGTTAGGTTAAACCGGTAGCCATACTTACGTGTACTCGTTATAAGCGCCTTTTTCATGACTTAATGCGCATGCGTTTAGCGATTCTTGGGTCCATATGGAAATAATTTGTACAAAATACGATAGATGGCTCTAATTCGGACCAGCGTGGACTAAATATGACCCAACCATTTTTTAAGTCCCTTTCGGTATAAACGGTTGGTGACTAGACCTACTTTGGGTCACGATATAGGTCAGGTCGCTATCAGTCGTACGGTGTAACCGTAGCCAGTGGAAACGTGAAAAGTGAAAATTTTTATGCATGTATGTATGCATGATGTAATAAGACTTATTACATCATGTATGTATGTACATATACACGCATCATACAAAAAATTTTCACTTTTCACGTTTCCGCTTTAGGGAAAAAGTTACATGATCGATACCCTGATTTCGCATTTGGGAGTTTGCAATGCATGAAAATATGTCCCATGGGAAGCCGGGCTACTTAAAATCGGAACGAAACGATGCTGATTGGTTGCCCCTACCACTTCACCTTTCCGATTCTGTGTTCCGATTCCATTTTCCGTGCCCATGGAACAGCACCTTTAAGCGGGGAGCACAGACTTTTGCATAATGCATAACATGTAATGCATAAGAAATTCAATCAATCAGAATTCTTTATTTCATGGAAAGGAAGGAAACGGAGGGCTTTGATTGGTACATTTTCTTATGCATTACGTGTTATGCGTTATGCAAGAGTCTGTGCTCCCCGCTTTATACGCATGATGCGCATAGGTCTGTTGCGTTGCTTGCACTTTTGGAACTCGGCATCTTCGCTTTCTCTCTTTTCAAGGCCAAATATATATCTATCTCATTTTAAGTGCAAAAATATTTGGGGATTTCATGCAACGCGAACAGATCTAATGTGAATATGACAAAAGTGAGCAAATTTACTAGGTGTTGAAATTATACCAATGAAATTATCAGTATTCCAGTAAATTTGCTTACTTTTATAATTTTCATCTCGTTTCAAGATACAGAATCGATCCCGTGTGTCCTGTCCTGTGGATAGCGATCATGTAATGTAACTTTTTATTTAGGGGGTCGATTATGACCCGTATTCATAATCGGTCCTTATATTTAAGGTTTCCTTAAATTTATCTTTAGATGCTCTACGAATTATTTCATTGGCTACTGAGCGTCTAAAGATAAATTTAAGGAAGTCTTAAGTACAAGGTCTGACTTGGTTTGACTATGAATACGGGCATATATATCTCGAAATGAGGTGAAAATTACAAAAGTGAACAAATTCACTAGTTATTGACCAATTAAATTATGAGTATTCTAGTGAATTTGCTCACTTTTGTAATTTTCACATTATTTCGAGATACATAATCGACCCCTAGAACAGCGTGAAAATTTTTTTATGTGTGTATGTACATACATATGTACCATACAATAAATTTTCGCCGCGCGCGAGTTATTGCGGTTTATGCAGATTTATATCAAAAGGAATTCAGGAGGATAGTACACGGAAAAAATGGGACGGACAATTTATGTTGAGGAACATCTTCGCACGTATTTAACATCGTTAGCGAAACCAGATGGATATGTGATAGGATTGATTTTAGGACAGGTTTGATTTTCCTGTTTCTCCATGTCGATTGCACATTACGCGCTCTCATTTTTAATATGCGATAAGTCAAGTGAAAATCATGCAATTTTATAATATATGATAATGTATTTTAATTGACTTTATATTAACAAAACTCGAACAGCGATTCTTACATATTTGTTTTTTTTTTTCCAATCATTGAATCTGAGGGCAAAAAAATTTGA